CCGGGAACTACAGGCGCGCGCTACACGCCCGGGCTAATTTTTGATTGATTGTAGAGATGAGGTCTCGCCAAGTTGCCCAGGCGGGTCTTGAACCTGCGGGCTCAGGCAATCCACTCACCTCAGCCTCCCAAGGTGCGGGATTACAGGCTGAGCCACCGAGCCCGGCTGTTATTTTATCTTTATTATTATTATTATATTTTATACTTAACCTACCTGCATTTTCTTTTTTTGCTGCATACTCTTTGATCACATCATCATATGACAATGATTTTGTGACATAATTTTCTCTAGAAGGAATAGAAAGATAAGGCAGTCTTCCTTCCGCTCCGGTTGATTGAAATGTTTTATTGTTGGTGGTGTAGCACAGTCTCTTTGTGTTTCGTGAGCCCTTATCAGCAAAGTCACCTCGCAACTTCCTCTGCAGTTTCTTGCTCTGGGGAGTGTGCTTCCTGAGGACCAGCTCTTTGGGTGTGGCCTGTGATGTGGCACCTGCAGCCCACCCAGGGCTCAGTCTGCCTGTCTTCCTCTGTGTGGCTGCTGGGTCACTGGCTCTGTAGCAGCTGGCCTACCCTGGCTAGACCCTTGCCGTCCCCGGTATTCTCCATCCCAGGACCATCCCAGTGACCTTGAAACCTGGTTGCAGCCTCTCCTATACCAGCTGTCCCCAGCCAAGCAGGGAGTGGAGCAGTTCTCGTGTGATAGGTCCACCCGCCCCTGTACTGCCACTGACCAAGGTGTGAGGGTGGCCCAGGCCTCTAGTGCGCCGCTGGCTCCCCCCCACCAGCCATGTGGAAAGAGCTTCTCTTAAAGAGCTAGTACTTTTATAACATCAGCAGTTTGGGCTTCAATTTAAAAACGTTGGCCAGGTGCGAGGGCTCAGCCTATAATCCCAGCACTTTAGGAAGCTGAGGTGAGAGGATTGCCTGAGCCCGGAGGTTCGAGACCAGCCTGGGCAACTTGGTGAGACCTCGTCTCTACAACAAATCACAAAAACTAGCCAGGCGTGGTAGCGTGCGTCTGTAGTACCAGCTACTTGGAAGGCTGAGGCGGAAGGATCACCTAAGCCCAGCAGGTCGAGGCTGCAGTGGCCGTGAGAGGGTGCCACTGCACTCCAGCCTGGGAGACAAGAATGAGATTCCAACTCAAAGATAAAAAATGTTTTCCTCCCCGGAGTCTTTGAAACTGATCAAAATAGGAGCTCCATTGTCTGTGAGAGGCTCAGTATACTTATTTGTTCGTTTCCTCTGGAAATCGGCAAGTGTCTTTCAAAGCAGACTTTTCCCATTAATATCGCTCTCATCACATAGATGAGATATACAGAGAAGAAAAGCCTCCCCATCACCCAGCAGAAGAATCTCATTAAATGTTCCAACAGCTGGACGGTGTCAAGGAGGCCTCCCCTGAGGACATAAAAATCCTTCCCCTGCTGGGTGCAGTGGCTCAAACCTGTAATCCCAGCACTCCGGGAGGCTGAGGAGAGAGGATTGCCTGAGTCCAGAGGTTCGAGGCCAGCCTGGCAGCATGGCGAGACCTCGTCTCCACAGTAAATCAGAAAGATTAACTGGATGTGGTTGTGTATGCCTGTAGTTCCAGCTACTTAGAAGGCTGAGGCGGAAGGATCGCCTGAACCCAGTAGGTCAAGGTTATAGTGGCCACGAGCGTGCCACTGCACTCCAGCCTTGGCGTCAGAGTGAGACTCCGACTCAAAAAATAATGATAATAAATCCCTTCCCTGTGACTGTGCCCAGACTGGAGGTCTTCGAGTTTCAGGGTGTCCCCTGGGTACAGAGTGGAGACTGAGGACTGACAGGCGGAGGCGGCTGCCTGTGGTGCAGATGGGGGGCGAGCTGTGGCTCCCACTGAGGTTCCAAGCTCAGGCTGGCATCCACGGCTTCTCTCGCCGTCCGGCTGCCTTAGCCCGTTCTGTGTATTTTCCTGGGATTCCTCTGCTTTGGAGAGGAAGAAAGAAAGACAAAACAGTCAGGACCAGCCTGCAAAAGCTCAAGCAGAGATCGGTCTCTTGGAAGCTCCAGACAGGTCAAGCTGGCCTTGACTCACTCGCTTCCCTCCCAGTTCAAGATTCAGACTCCCCCAGCCATGCTCCAGAAGTCACAGATGCCCCGGACACCCCTCTACCCCGCTGGAACCAAATCTTCCCCAGGAGTACATTCTCCTGGGGGCGGCTGTCCTGTAATCCTGCCCCTTTTCTCCAGCTATGTGCACCTACTTCCCTAGAGAACAGAGACATGTAATCGGCTTTGGTCCCTTTCAGTGGTGACTCAGTGGTATGCACGGCCAAGAGACCACAGAAACAGGCAGAACCTGTTCTCCACCCATGGCTTGCAAACGGACTCCTGGGTCCACAGGGAAGGGCTCGTAGGCTGGTTCTGGCCTGGGCAGAAAGCACCAGTCCTTGGGCACAGTGATTCTGGCCTCGGACTGGAAGCACAGAGAAGACAACCGATGGTGTCAAAAACCGGCTTCCTAAGACTTCAGCCTGGGAGACAAACGCCCTAAGGGGTCTTGTGCTGGAAAACAGCCATGATTCACAGAAACAGGAATCTTGGTCTCTCACCCTGAAAGACACAAGAAACTAACCAAAACAGACCAGAGGACCAGAAACTTCAAGTGGTTACCAGACCTGGACAGTCGGGAGCTCAGAAGCCAGCTGGATTGCTGTGACCAAGGTTCAACTCCCCTGCCGGCACTATCCTCCCTAAGAAGGAGGGTGAGAGACTCCAGGACCCTCACAGTGCACTGCTGGGACTTCCCAGGCCGGAGCTCTGCTCTGGGGCAGCTATCCTGTAGCCGTGACCTTGGTGGAAACCTCTAATCCGTGAAAGCAGCATTTCAGCCAAGGAGATGCGTGCACGTCCAAGTGCAGCAAGGCAGCCGGTGAGAGAGAGAGCTGGCCAAGGGTGCGGTTCCCAGGGCCAGGCTTTAGAGGAGGAGGAGTGTCTGGATGAATTTCTTCAGTAACTGCAAAGCAGGTTTGTTTCCCAAGGGCTAAAACTCTGCCATGTCTTTACGAGCTGTGTGGATTAAACCTGGGTCACGTTGACCTAGACACATATCCAAGAAACGCCAGATATGCGAATCTTAATAAGAAAAAATGAGCAACATGGTCGTGATCTTCCATCGGAAACACAGTGCAAGGAAGTCCAGTTTTTTTCTCATGACAACACTCTGATTGAGTGTGGAGAAAATATACTTTTTCTTAAGTTTGGAAAAGGAGTTTATCCCAGCCTGGGCAACATAGCGAGACTTAGCCTCTACAAAAAATACAAAAGCTTAGCTAGGTGTGGTGGTGTTCACCTGTAGTCCCAGCTACTTTGGAAGCCAAGGTGGGAGGATTGCTTGACCCCGGGAGTTTGAGGCTGCAATGAATTGTGATCATGCCACCGAACTCCAGCCTGGACATCAGAGTGAGACCACGCCCCCCCCCACGCACGCGCGCACACACACACAAAAAGGGGGAAGGAAGTTTACTCATTTGTAGATGGAGTATTTGTGGCATTCTGACTTCAGGCGCCAATCTATACTGTTGCCGGGAGGGTGCCATGATTGATGAGAACAGGAAAAATTTCATCGGATGCCCCCGGAGAGCACAGGGCAAAGCAGCGCTGCTAGTCAGAGGCAGCAGCTTCCCTGGCAGGACTAACGGCATTTATAGACTTCATCGAGAGCAATAAGAGAAAAGGCACATATAAGGCATGTTATGAATGGCAAATGGCATAGAACCATGGGTGCTGTAAAGATTTCACACATCATCTTCCAGAGAATTAAAAAAGGGGATTATTCACTCTTGTTAGAAGGAAAACATAACCTTGAAACCAAAACCTGTCAAGGACATCATGAGAAAGAAAATTATAGGCCAAGCTTACTCATGAGCATAGATGAAAAATCCCAAACAAAATGTTAGCAATCTATAATAATGATAATACATAGTGGTCAAGTTGTGTTTATCTCAGGAGCACAAAGTTGGTTTAACAATAGAAAATCATTTATTTTAATTAATTACATTAATAGGTTAAAGAAGAAAAGTTGCATGATCATCACAATAGATGCAGAAAAAGCATTGGATACAATTCAGTATCCATTCGTGATTTAAAAGAAAACTTAGGTACCTAGGAATTAAAATGAACTTCTTTAGCAAAGGATTTATAAAAATAGTTATAGCATCATCATATTTAATGGTTAAAAAGTTGAAAGCTTTCCCTTGCAATCAGAAACAAGAAAAAGATATCCACTATCATCACCACTTTTATTCAACATTGTGCTGTTGACTAATGTGGTAGGGCAAGAAATAGAAATTAAGGTTAAAGGCAAGAAAAGAAAAAGCTGTCATTATTTACAGTCTATTGATGTCTATTTAAAAACGCCAAATAATCTAAACATAGATTACTACAGTTACTAAGCGTTTTTTATTTAGCAAGGTTGCTGGATACAAAATCAATATACAAAAATCATTTGTACTTCTATCTATCTATCAGCAACAAACAGTTCAAAAATGAAATTTTAAAAATTAATATACCACTCATAACAGCATTTGAAAAAACACAAAGTGCTCTTCCTTTCTCCACCATCATGGTATGCACGGTGGACTCTGTTGCTCGCCATGTCTTCTCACAAGACTTCCAAGATCAAGCAATTCCTGGCCAAGACACAGAAGCAAAATCGTCCCATTCCCCAGTGGATTCGGATGAAAACTGGTAATAAAACCTGCTACAACTCCAAGAGGAGACATTGAAGAAAAACCAAGCTGGGTCTCTAAGGAATGGCACATGGGGTGGCACACATGTTTATGCTGAATCACGGTCACCATCATCTTGCCATTATCAAGTTGAAAATCTCCACAGTCGAGAAGTCAAACATGTTTAATTGGGGTGTGATTTTTTTTGTTGATGTGCTCTGCACTCGTGAACTGGTTCAGTAATAAATATGAAACCTTTTGTCTGAAAAAGAAAAAAACACAGAGTACCTGGGAATCAGTTTTAAAAAGATTTGTAAGCCCTCTGGTGAGGAAGTTATAAAACTTTAATAAGAGTCCAAAAATGTTTCTTAAGGAAGACCTAAATAAATGAGGTATATACATGTCCATGAATCGGAAAACTCAATAATGTAGAGATGTCAAGTTTCCTCAAATTGATTTGCAGAGTCAATATGATACCTATCAAAATCATAACTTGACAAGTCGAATCTAAAGCTTACTTGGAAATGCACAGCCCCAAGAATAGAAGAGGCATTCCTGAAGATGGTGGACAAACGGAGGGCTTACTCCTCAGATCTGGAGCTGCATTCCAGAGCCGTGGCAGTCAGTACAGGTGGCTCGGGGAAGGGAGAGACACACAGACGACTGAATGGAGAGCCCAGAAATAGCCCCTTGCTTATGCGGACACTTGATACATGACAGAGTTGGCAATTGGGGCAGCGCAAAAAGGATGAACCTTTTTTTTTTTTTTTTGAGTCGGAGTCTCACTCTGTCGCCCAGGCTGGAGTGCAGTGGCACGCTCCCGGCCACCGCAGCCACGACCTGCTGGATGCTGGTGATCCTTCTGCCTCAGCCTTCCGAGTAGCTGGAACCACAGGCGCATGTCACTATGCCTGGCTAATTTTTTTTTAAATTGTTGAGATGAGGTCTCACCAAGTTGCCCAGGCTGGTCTCGAACCCTTGGGCTCAGGCAATCCTCTCGCCTCCACCTCCCAAAGTGCTGCCGTGAGCCACCGTGCCTGGCTTAAGGATGAACCTTTAAATAAATTGTGCCAGGACAACTGCATTCATATGGAGATAAAGACGAAATCATAAAAAAAAGAAAAGCTGGAGAGAGGCCGGACACGGTAGCTCCCACCTGTCGTTCCAGTACTTGGGGAGGTCATAAACATAGCAGTCAGAAAACTTCCTCGCGTCACTCTGTAAACCCTCCCTCCCACCACTTCTCGCACCCCAATCTCCAGGCCACCCCTGATCTGGTTTCTGTCACTGTAGGTGAGTTTGCATTTTCCAGAGTTCCACGCAGAAAATCCTCCCGCGCATATTCGCTTCCTGTCTGGCCCCTTTCACTTGGCATCACTATTTTGAGATTTATCCGGGTTGCTGCCTTCAGATACTGCACTCCTTTGTGTGGCTGAGGTGTCCTTTGCATCGATGCACCACGGCTTGTTCACTCTTCACCTTCTGGAGGCCATTCGAGTTGCTTCTCGTCGGAACTACTACAGACACAGCTGCTCTGAACATAAAAATGCACAGCGAGGTTAATTCTGAGTAAAGATGGCAGATTGAACATCTGCATCTAATTCCACACCCCGGAAAAGCTACAGTAAAGCCACTTTGGGGAGAACAATGACATAAATCTACATGAAAGGAGAGGGCAGAGGATGAGACCTCAGCCACAAGGCTTTGGGAGCTGGGAAAACAGCTCCCTGGAAGTCAGATGACGGGCTGGCCAGAGGGAGCCGAGGGCCCTGCCTGGCGCCGGGGTGGAGGGCTGCTAACGGAGGAAGGCCGAGTGGAAGCTGTCTGATGAGCACCCAGAGTGTCGGGTGCCAGGGTGCCTGCCGTTCTGGCCACTTCTAGCACTGCCAGTTCCAGGTCTTCTGAAACCTCTCCGTCCCAGGCAAACCGCTCTGCCTCTATGCCACTGGACAGCTGTGCCTCCTCCATCCCGGCAGAAATTGGGAACTTTATTCTCTGGAGGGGGCAAAACAAGGGTTCAGTGGATTGTGGGCACCAGGTCCAATTGAGACAGTGAAATTCTCCCCAAGAAGGGCGATGCTTGAAGGTGTGCAGCCTGCAGGCCCAGAGCAGGGGGCCCCTTCACGGCTCAGCTCCCAGAACTCTGCAGCCAGGTCCCAGCCTTCAGGCAGGACGTTAGGCGTGTCTTCTCTGGGGAATCTGGATGAAATGGACATTGTAGATTCCCCAAGCAAGCCGTCTGGTCCACTGCCCCCTCCTGGCATCCACTGGCTGAAGGGCAAGCGTTATCCAATTGAAAAGGCCCATGGCATGGGCTGCACGTGGATGAAAGTAAATCCTCTCAGGTACAATGTCATGACATTTTAGCCCACTGAGGACAAAGGGATGATTCAACAAATTTCCAGAGAGTGTTTAGCATAGAGTCAGCAATCAGAATGGCTGTTTGATATACATTTTAATGAGATGGTCATTCAAATGCAGCCACAAAAGGACACAGGAGAGGTTCAGGAAAAAACCAAGTTTACTATACTCACAGGTCCTAGAGATGGGAGATATGGCATGCCACATGGGGCCACATGGGAAGACACCAGGGTGGTCAGAAGACAGAAGTCAGGAGTGAGAGGAAGGTTTAGGCCAGAATCTTCACTGAATTCAAGGAGGACAGGAGGGGCAGGGTGAACAGTTTAGGCTTAGCTAGTTTGAATAATTTCAGGGAGCTTACGGCTATAAGGGTGGCCTCTAGTTGCCTGGCATCTGGTTCTGGGATGATTAAGGCAGAGGAATATTGCCTCCTGGGCTGTATGGGCCAGATAGAAGAGGCAAGCCTGGTGTGCTATCAGCTGGAGACCTCACTGTCTCTGAGAATTGGCTAGTCTCGGGCCAGGTGCAGTGGCTCACACCTGCAATCCCAGCACTTTGGGAGGTTGAGGAGGGAAGCTCACTTGAGGCCGAGAGTTCAAGACCAGTTTGGGCAACACAGTGAGACCCCATCGCTACAAATAAATAAATAAGAATTAGCTAGTCCTGAGACAGCAATCTCTTCCCAGCCAGAAAGGGGTTTTTTGGAGTTTTTTGAAAGATGTCAAAACATCATACTATACAAAAAATGTATAAATATGCACAGGTGCGTGCACACATGTACACACACACACACACACACACACACACACACACACACACACACTGCAATGGCAAGGGGCTAATTGAGCAATCCTTTTAAATGCTGGAGGAAGATAACTTTCCACCCAGAAGTCTCCACGTCGTCCAGTTATCAATAGCATCAGTCAAGAGAAACTTGTCAGACATGCACGTTCTCAAGAATGAACTCCCAGCACACTCTTTCCTGGGGAACTGCTGAGAATATGCCCCCACCAAACTCAGGAACAAACAACAGAGGAGGGGGTGAAGGAGGCTTGGCCTGACCGCAGCTCCCAGGCTTGAGGACAGCCAGGTTGGATTGAAAAGGTGTGACATCCCATTGAAGGATAACTGTATAAAAAAAATGTGGTACATATACATGATGGAATATTACACAGCCATAAAGAAGGACAAAAATTATTAACTTCACGGCCACTTGGATGGACTGAGTGGTCTATCACACAAAGAGCCGAGTACCACCTGTTCTCACTCATAAGCGGACCTTGAACAACTGTCGCAATACTATAAGAAAGGGATTGGCAGTAGTGGGAAACTGCCAGGAGAAGGGGGGCACACCTCATCAACAAGGCTATCTGCATAATGAGCATTTGTATACCCGACCCTGAATGGTACCCTACATACTTAAAATAATTAAAAAAGAAAAGGTGTGACGTATTCCAGATAAAGATCGCTAAGCAAAGCAATTCAATTTTTTCTATTCCTTTTTTTTTTTTTTTGAGAATTGTTAACGTCTGCATACCACACCATCAATAAAACTCCTTTTCAAAGGTTTAAAAAGGGAAAAAAAGGTGAGACTTAAGAGACAGACATGTGCAGTCCCTGGTCCCCAGCCCAGCCCCGTCAGACAAGGGACTGGGACCCCGTCTCCTAGGAATCGCTAGTGACCTTCCCACTGGCTTCCCCAGAAGGAGGCCATCAGGGGAGCCAAGCCTAGACCGTAACCAGAAACTCCTTCTCCCGGGCCCTTGACCTGAAGCGATGAGCTGCTGCTCTTTTTTCACCACTCAGGTTTTATGTCTTTTTTCTCCATCACCTTTCTCATGCCTTTCTACAAGGTGATGCTTCCATGCCACCCTGTCTCAACTGGCAACTCTCCCAGTGCCTGTCATTCTGGACTCCAGAGCTAGTGATGAAATGCGACCAAGAGGCCGTTTCCTTCTTATCACAGATAATAAAGGCAATAGAGGTGCAAGGTTCTTGGGGAATTTATCTGTTCAGTCAACTGACATCTGCGTGCTGAAAATGAGCACCGGATGGAGCCGAGGGCAGACCAGACCTGCCCCCGTGGCACTCTCCCTTCGGTGGAGGAGGCAGGAGTGAAGGCCTACTCGAATCTGTAACGATCCATCCCAGAAAACAAAAAAAAGTCCCTCTGGGAGACATGAGTGAACGGGAAGGGAGGGAGAAAGGGTGGGGCGACATTTTGCCACTGTGAAAGACGTGAGACATAAAACAGCAGAAGCACTAAAAGGCATCAAAATTGACAAGTTCACAAACTGTTCTGAGCGGTGGGAAAGGTGCCTGGAAGACAGTCAGAGCCGCCGCAGAACGTGGGATGAAGTGGCAGTGGCGGCAGCGGCTGGTGGAGAAGGCTTCTCTATGGCCAAGGTATTTGTCGTTGATTCTGGTTTCCGTTGCGTGCAATATCTTACCTCCTCTCGTGACTTCGTTGTTGGAACTAGAAAACACACATCCTCTGTCTGCAGTGTGCACACTTTGAAAGCCAGAGTCACAGATAACAGCCTTGGCCAGCTCGTTTCCTTCTCTTGGTTTTGCCCCAAGAATAAGACTCTGTTTGTTGTTGTTGTTGTTTTGTTTTGAATCAAGGTCTCACTCTGTCGTCCAGGCGGGAGCGCAGTGGCACAATCATGACTCACCGCAGCCATGACCTCCTGTGCTCAGGAGATCCTTCTGCCTCCCAAGTAGCTGGAACTATAGGCACGCGCCACAACACCTGGCTACTTTTTTTATTTTCTGTAGAGACATAGTCTTGCTA